AGAAAGAAAGAAGAGAGAGAGAGACGGAAAGAAAGAAAGAAGAAGAAAGAAAAAGAAAGAAAGACAGACAGAGACAAAAGAGAGACACAGACAGAAAGAGACAGAGAAAGAAAAAAAAAAAAAAAGAACGGAAAAAGAAGAAGACACACCAGACAAAAGACAAAAAAAACACACAGAACAAAGAATGATTTGCAAAAGAAAACCCCGTAATTACGAACCAAGTAAATACGAAAATTCGCTGCGGTTCGCTAATGAATCCATTTAATCTCGCGCAATAAATTACCCAGCTGTTAGACATATTCATTAATTACTTTTTTGGATTCGGTGATGTTAATTGGCGTTAATTACTCTCGTTAATTGATATTGGCGTTAGTCGAAGTGCATCATTTTGTGGGAAATATCAATCACGTCTTCAATCGGAGTCATGGCGCTGTGCTTTTGTTTTTCTCTTGTGGTTTGTTTGTGTGAAAGATGTTTTTTCAAGCAAAACGTTACATACATACATATACATACATATTGCATACACACACACAGATACAGACACAGACACACCACACAGAGACACACACACACACTCACACACTCACACTCACTCACTCACACAACAGACCACTCACACGCACACACACACACACACACACACACACACACACAACACACACACACTCACTCACACTCCAAGTCACTCACTCACTCACTCACTCACACACACACAGACAACAACACACCACAACACACACACACTCTCACATTCACTCACTCACTCACACACTCCTCACTCACACCACACACACAACACACACAGCACACAACAACTACACAAAAACACACACAAGCACACACACACACAACACACACACAATACACACTCACATCCTCACTCACTCACATCACTCACTCACTTTTCACATACACACTACACATTACACATTACACATACACATACCACACACACACACACATCACACACACACACACACGACACACACACACACAACACAACACACACACACAACAACACACTTCCACACAGCACTCACTCACCTCACTCACTCACACATCACACAGACACAAACATACACCACACACGGAGTAAACAAAATGTAAAGAAAGTGTCTAAGAAGCATCATTAATGAAGAAAACTGCAAACTAGAGAGTAGATTTTAAAAATATTAGGTCTTGAAACTCGAACAGAGAAGATGAAGTATGATGAGAGAAGAAGAGAGAATAGAGAGAGAGAGAGAGAGAGAGAGAGAGAGAGAGAGAGGAGAGAGAGAGAGAGAGAGAGAGAGAAGAGAGAGAGAGAGAGAGTACGAGAGAGAGAGAGAGAGAAGAGAGAAGAGAGAGGGGGGAGGGGGCACCAGAGAAGAGACAGAAAAAGAATGAAACAAAATAAAAAGAATGGCAAAATGAGAAACTATAACAAGACCCAAAGGCTTCCCAAACTACATAATACACACAACACGACAAGTAACACAACACACACAACACACAGATTTTTTGATACCCACCACACAACACAGCACTTTGATGTTATGTATATGTCAATCTTGACGCGTTTGTATTCAAAGGCATTCGGAGAGTATATTCGGTACAACACCCGCCACACACATTCGTTCACGACGACACCGACACACCAACATCTTCCTCCCCACCCCACCCACTACCACCCACAACCAACAAAACACACACCAAGCCCCTCCGTGCCTCTCCCCCCCCCCCGCCTCCCTCACAAATCACGCCCCCAAGCAAAAAACAAACGGTCGCCCCAAAACCCTAAACTCGCGCCAGCGTATTCAATTCAGCATGAAGTTTTTTCGCCCCCCTAAAAGTTGCCTCACTCTATTTTTCTCCCAAGTAGTTTGTAAGAAATATATCTCACGGAATGTAAGGCTTCCATTAGCCTTCGTGGCCTTCCCGAAATATACAAGCGCCAGACCACAACACGGAAATAAACTGGGAGAGATATGTATATTTTCATTTGGTGGGATGGGTTCTTTATATCTATCTATCTATCTATCTATCGCTATTCTATTTGTTTATCTATTCATTTGCTTAGCTTATGTGTTCAAGGTATTTGCTTATCTTTCGATTTATTTATCTATCTTATCTGTTCTTATATTTCTTATTTTGGAAGCGCCAGACCACACACGGAAATAAACTAGGAGATGTGTATATTTTCATTTTGGGTGGGATGGTTTTTGTTTATATCTATCTATCTATTCGCTATCTATTATCTATTTATTTATTTATCTATTTATCTCTGCGTTCAAGTATTTGCTTATCTTTTCGTTTATCTGTCTATCCCTTCTGTCTTATATTTGTTTTTGAAGCGCCAGACCACAACACGGAAATAAACTGGGAGAGATATGTATATTTTCATTTTGGGGTGGGATGGTTTTCTTTATATCTATCTATCTATTTATCTATCTATCGCTATCTATCTATCTGTCTATCTATTCATTTGCTTAGCTATGGTTTTCAAGTATTTTGCTTATCTTTTCGTTTATCTATCTATCTATCTGTTCTTATATTTCTTTTTTGAAGCGCCCAGACACAACACAGGGAAATAAACTGGGAGAGGTATGTATATTTTCATTTTGGGTGGGATGGTTTTGTTTATATCTACCTATCTATCTATCTATCGCTATCTATCTGTTTATCTAATTTCATCATTGCTTAGCTTATGTGTTCAAGTATTTGCTTTATTCTTTTCTTTTATCTACTCTATCCTATCTATTCTCTGTTCTTATATTTCTTTTTTTGAAGTCGCAGAACCACAACACGGAAATAAACTGGGGAGAGATATGTATATTTTTCATTTTGGGGTGGATGGTTTTCTTTATATCTACTATCTAATCTATCTATCGCCTCTATCTGTTTATAATTCTATCATTCTTATCTTAGCTATGTGTTCAAGTATTTGCTTATCTTTTCTTTTATCTTGTCTATCATCTGTTCTTATATTTGTTTTTTGAAGCGCCAGACCACGAAACGGAAATAAACTGGGGAGAGTGTATATTTTCTAATCGGGTTGGTTACTGTCTTATATCTATCTTATCTATCTACTATCTCTATTCCTTTACCTATCTATGTGTTTAATTATTTGCTTTATTCATCGTTATGCTTTATCTATCTATCTCTATTGTTTTCTTTTATATTTCTTTTTGGAACGCCAGACCACAACAGGGAAATAAACTGGTGACGATTTATTCCTTATTTACTTCTAATCTATTTGTCTTGTCTACTATTTGATATAATGTCATTTATTAAGTAATTCGAAGAGCCCATTTATTATCTATTTGTCTATCTATGTCCTATCATATAGTTTATTTCATATTATTTTTTCAAGCGCTAGATTCACAACACGGAAATAACTTGGAGTGATACTAATTTACGGAGACGGATTTTTGTTTTTTATTCTATTTATCTATCTATCTATCATCCATTTATTTTCATTTATCCAAGCCACTTTATCATTTACCTTATTCATTTATCTTATCCAACCACTTCCTCATTTACTTATTCATTTATCCAACCACTTCCTCATTTACTTAATTCATTTATCCAACCACTTCCTCATTTTATCCATACTTCATTTTACCTTATATAGATAAATAAAACTTTGAGAGATGTGTATATTTGGGGGATTCGTCGTTTCTATTTAATTCATCAGTTTAATTAATTTATTTATCTAGTACTTTTATTTATCTCTCTCTTTAACACCATTTTTTTCCTTCTCCGCTTTCTTTTCCCTCCGCTTACTTTTCTTTCTCCTTTCTCTCATTTTTCTCTCTACCCTTCCCTATTCCCTCTCTTCCCTTCTTTTCCTCCCCTTTTCTCTCCTTTCTCCTTTCTTCTTTCCTTCCCTTTATCCTCTCTCTCCCTTTCCCCTTTCTTTCTCTCTCTCCCTCCTTCCTACTCTTTTCCCCATTCTCTCTCCATTCCTTCGTTCCTTTTACCCTCCTCTTTCTCTCTGCCTCCTTCTCTCTTCATTCCCATCCCCTTTCTCTCTCTCCGCTTTCCCTTATTCCCGTCTTCCTTCCTTTCCTCACTCTCTTCCCCTTCCCTCTTCCTTTTTCCTCTTTTCCCATCTTTCCTCTCCTCCCTCCTTCCCATCTTCTCCCCTTCTTCGCTTCTCCTTCTCCTTCTCCTCAACCTCTCCTCTCTCCCTCTTTCCCCCAATCCTCCTCTCCCTCCTTCTCCATCCTCCTCCTCTTCCCTTTCCTTATCCCTCTTCCCCCATCCTCCCCCCTTCCCTTCTCCTCTCCCTCCTTTCCTTCCTTCCTATCTTGCTTTCCTTCCCTCCCGCCCCCTCCTCCTCCTCTCCTTTCCCTCCTCTCTCCTCTCTCCCCCATCCTCCTCCCCCTCCCCTCTCTTTCCCTCTCTCCCATCCTCCTCTCCCCCTCCATCCCCTCTCCCTTTCACACAGTGCTCTCCTGTCACGTGCATAATACGTCCCTTCAGATGTAAAAGCCAAGCTGTATCTTCCACGCGCCCAGTTCTGAAAGCCAGGGAGGGGGGGAGGGGGGAAAGGGGGGGGGAGGGAGGGAGGGAGGGAGGGAGGGAGAAGGAGTAAGAGGAGAAGGAGAGAGGAGAGAAGGAGAGAAGGGAGAAGGAAGAAGGAGGAGAGAGGAGAGAAGGAGAGAAGGAGAAGAAGGAGAGAAGGAGAGAGAGGAGAGAGAGAGAGAGAGAGAGAGAGAGAGAGAGAGAGAGAGAGAGAGAGAGAGAGAGAGAGAGAGAGAGAGAGAGAGAGAGGAGAGAGAGAGAGGGGAGAGAGAGAGAGAGGGGAGGGAGGGAGGGAGGGGAAAGGGAGAGAGGGAGGGAAAGGGAGGGATGGAAAGTAAGGAGAAGAAGGGAAGGAGAAGGAAGAGGGAAGGGAGAGGGAGATGGAAGGGAGCAGGAGAGAGAGAGGGGAGAGCGAGGGTGATGAAGACAGAGATGGAGAAGGAGAGGAAGAGGGATGGACGGACAGATCTCAGGNCGAATCTCCATTACAGCTGACATTGTTGACACAGTTGGCTATGGAGATCAGATAAATAAGAAAGACAGCTTTACTGCTATTGTTGACTACATTGACAAACAGTTTGATGATTACCTTCAAGAAGAGCTGAAGATAAAACGTTGCCTCTCAGCCTACCATGATGCAAGAATCCATGCCTGTCTGTACTTCATCTGTCCAACTGGTCATGGGTATGTGGAGAGGAGATTTATGACTTTATCCTTGAAGCCAAGTAATCAGTATTGAGGATTGATTACATGAGTAATATGTATTGCTATCTGGGATAACCTTAATGGAAAGATTTCAAAATGAATTGGGAGGACAGTAAAAGCTTAAAGGACATACTTCAAGTTTTGATGATTATATTTTAAAAATCTTTTGCAGTCTGAAAAGTATTGATTTGGTATGCATGAAGAAACTGGACTCAAAGGTGAATGTGATTCCAATCATTGCCAAGGCTGATACCATCTCTAAGGCTGAGCTGACAAAGTTTAAGCAACGCATCATCCAAGAGATCAAAGCCAACAATATCCAGATTTACCAGTTCCCAACAGATGATGATACCATGGCCAAGGTATGCCTGTCTACTTTTGTGATGATTGCATGGTTGTATTTTGAGGAATGAACACACACACACACGCACACACGTGCACACATGCGCACGCCCGCACACACGCACACTCACGCACACACACACACACACACACACACACACACACACAACACACACACACACCACAACACACGCACGCACGCACGCACGCACACGCAACACACACACACACACACACACACACCACACACACACACACAACACAACACACACACACACACACACATACACATGAACACACACACACCCACACATGAACACACAATGAATTACACATGACATCACATGAACATACGCACACATGAACTACACACATGAACATACACACATGAACATACACACATGAAACATACACACACATGAACATACACACATGAACATACACCACATACACACACATGAACATACACACACATGATAACATACACACACATGAACATACACACATGAACATACACACACATGAACATACACACACATGAACATCACACACATGAACATACACACACATGAACATACACATACACATGAACATACACACACATACATACACACACATGAACATACACACACATGACATACACACACATGAACATACACACACATGAACATACACACATACACACACATGACACATACACACACATGAACATACACACACATACACACATGAACATACACACACATGAACATACACACATAAGAACAACAACATACACACATGGACACGAACACATGGACATGGACGACGTGGACATGGACACGTGGACATGGACGAACGTGGACATGGACACGAACGTGGAATGACACGAACGTGGACATGTGGACATGGACACGAACGTGGACATGGACACGAACGTGGACATGGACACGAACGTGGACATGGACACGAATAGACACGGACACAGACATTAACACGGACACAAACATGGACATGGCCATTAAGGTGAAGAGTTGTCGGTACAGTCACGAATTCGTTATCCTGTCCTCCTTGCTTTAGATTTTTAGCTAGGACAATAATTTTATAGACAATGTGCATGGATATGTGATGCTTGAGTACAAGAAATTTGATTTTAAAAAGCTGCGTACATTTTTGCGCTACCCCCCCCCCCTCCCCCCCCAAAAAAAAAAAGCAAATAGAAAAAAAAATCTTAGAATTCAATAATTATGTAATGGTTTCCTTATAGTGAATTGTACTACAGTTTCCTTCTGACCAGAGTTAGTCAACAAATAGGAGTACCAAATGTAGCATTTATGTAAATCTATCTGAAACGACAATGTTTCAGTTACCTTGCAATTTTTTTTTTTTTTTTTTTTTTTTTTTTTTTTTTTTTTTTTTTTTTTTTTTTTTTTGCCAGAAAACCGCCATTAATTTTTCAGTAAAAAACGTATTTGGTGGAAATAATGCAGGACTTAGCTAGAGTTAGTAGATACGAACTGGACGATCGTTTTGCAACAAGAATTATTAAAATCACATAATTACAACGTTGGGGTTGTAATTATGTGATTTTAATAATTCTTGTTGCAAACGATCGTCCAGTTCGTATCTACTAACTCTAGCTAAGTCCTGCATTATTTCCACCAAATACGTTTTTTACTGAAAAATTAATGGCGGTTTTCTGGCAAAAAAAAAAAAAAAAAAAAAAAAAAAAAAAAAAAAAAAAAAAAAAAAAAATTGCAAGGTAACTGAAACATTGTCGTTTCAGATAGATTTACATAAATGCTACATTTGGTACTCCTATTTGTTGACTAACTCTGGTCAGAAGGAAACTGTAGTACAATTCACTATAAGGAAACCATTACATAATTATTGAATTCTAAGATTTTTTTTTTCTATTTTGCTTTTTTTTTTGGGGGGGGGGGGGGGGGGGTAGCGCAAAAATGTACGCAGCTTTTTAAAATCAAATTTCTTGTACTCAAGCATCACATATCCATGCACATTGTCTATAAAATTATTGTCCTAGCTAAAAATCTAAAGCAAGGAGGACAGGATAACGAATTTCGTGACTGTACCGACAACTCTTCACCTTAATGGCCATGTCCATGTTTGTGTCCGTGTTAATGTCTGTGTCCGTGTTAATGTCCACGTTCGTGTCCATGTCCACGTTGTCCATGTCCATGTCCACGTTCGTGTCCATGTCCACGTTCGTGTCCATGTCCACGTTCGTGTCCATGTCCACGTTCGTGTCCATGTCCGTGTTCGTGTCCATGTGTGTATTTGTTCTTATGTGTGTATGTTCATGTGTGTGTATGTTCATGTGTGTGTATGTTCATGTGTGTGTATGTTCATGTGTGTGTATGTTCATGTGTGTGTATGTTCATGTGTGTGTGTCATGTGTGTGTATGTTCATGTGTGTGTATGTTCATGTGTGTGTATGTTCATGTGTGTGTATGTTCATGTGTGTGTATGTTCATGTGTGGTATGTTCATGTGTGTGTATGTTCATGTATGTGTGTGTATGTTTCATGTGTGTGTATGTTCATGTGTGTGTATGTTCATGTGTGTGTATGTGTGTGTATGTTCATGTGTGTGTGTATGTTCATGTGTGTGTATGTTCATGTGTGTGTATGTTCATGTGTGTGTATGTTCATGTGTGTGTATGTTCATGTGTGCGTATGTTCATGTGTGCGTATGTTCATGTGTGTACTGTATTCATGTAAACAGTGTGTTCATGTGTGGGTGTGTGTGTGTTTCATGTGCGTGTGTGTGTGTGTGTGTGTGTGTGTGTGTGTGTGTGTGTGTGTGTGTTGTGTGTGTGTGTGTGTGTGTGTGTGTGTGTGTGTGTGTGTGTGTGTGTGTGTGTGTGTGTGTGCGTGCGTGCGTGCGTGTGTGTGTGTGTGTGTGTGTGTGTGTGTGTGTGTGTGGTGTGTGTGTGTGTGTGCGTGAGTGTGCGTGTGTGCGTGCGCATGTGTGCACGTGTGTGTGTGTGTTCATTCCTCAAAAATACAACCATGCAATCATCACAAAAGTAGACAGGCATACCTTGGCCATGGTATCATCATCTGTTGGGAACTGGTAAATCTGGATATTGTTGGCTTTGATCTCTTGGATGATGCGTTGCTTAAACTTTGTCAGCTCAGCCTTAGAGATGGTATCAGCCTTGGCAATGATTGGAATCACATTCACCTTTGAGTCCAGTTTCTTCATGCATACCAAATCAATACTTTTCAGACTGCAAAAGATTTTTAAAATATAATCATCAAAACTTGAAGTATGTCCTTTAAGCTTTTATCTGTCCTCCCAATTCATTTTGAAATCTTTCCATTAAGGTTATCCCAGATAGCAATACATATTACTCATGTAATCAATCCTCAATACTGATTACTTGGCTTCAAGGATAAAGTCATAAATCTCCTCTCCACATACCCATGACCAGTTGGACAGATGAAGTACAGACAGGCATGGATTCTTGCATCATGGTAGGCTGAGAGGCAACGTTTTATCTTCAGCTCTTCTTGAAGGTAATCATCAAACTGTTTGTCAATGTAGTCAACAATAGCAGTAAAGCTGTCTTCCTTATTTATCTGATCTCCATAGCCAACTGTGTCAACAATTGTCAGCTGTAATGGAGATTCGAGGGAAATATCAATAAGTAATTTAATTAATTTCAACTATTTCATGAACCTCTTAAAAAGTTTTCTATCATCATATGTTTCTAATATCAATAAAAAGTATTTTAAAAATCTACAACCACTATCATCATGTTACCAGGAGAAATCCATGTGAAACAGTGAAACTTACCTTCAGCCTGACATTAGATTCCTGAAGTTCATATGTATGAGACTTAAGCTTGACAGATGGCAGTGTGTGTGGTGCTGGATTGGACTCAAAGCTGGTATTGAAGAGTGTGTCCATTAGGGTGGATTTGCCCATGCCAGTTTCACCTGAGTAAAACAGCAGGTACCAAAGGTTTGGGAGTTACTTTTTATGAAAGCATGAATGTTGATAGCATTAACAAAATTACACATTTTCCCAAACAAACTCAAGAGGGGGTAAGGTCACAAGGTCTACTAACTGACTCCTTTATAGCTATGCACTACAGTGAACATTACATTTTCCTGACAATGGTGGATTAAAGAAAGGAGAAAAGAAAAAAAAAAAAAAAATCAAGGAAAATTATGAAAGTTAGAAATAAATTGCTGACAGTAAATAAAGAGAAATATTGGGGTGGGGGTGACTATTGATCCCGTCTACCTTTTTTTTCAAGTATATTTATTGTAGTGATTACTGATTTATAATTAGTAGGCAAAGGGAGGGTTTACAGGAAAGTTATTGAGTCTGAATTAGCAAAAGAGTAAGTTTTTTGTTTTTTTTTGTAATGTTTATTGTTACGGAAGGAATTGGTTAAAACAATTTCTATGACCGTTGTAGCTTTGGTAACACACACTCAAGGGGAATAAATAAAATACAACCCACAAGCCTTAAGGTGGACCGTCCCTGGCGGTGGGGGGGGAATCGGGGATTTTGGGTCAGAGTGGTCGGTGAGTTATGGTCAGTTTCATATTTGTATATTAGAATAGAATTATCCACATGAATATAACCTCACACAACGAGAAATTTAGGCAGCACGCGAGGCCAGAAGCCAGAGTCCCATTGCCACTGTGTCAGTGATTTTCAACCTTACGCAATCTCGCTTTACAAGAGCGATTATGTATTATATTATAACATTACCTATTGATCTGGATCACAGGAAGATAAAACTGCTTTATTATAACAATTTCTTCCCAAAGTGAAAGATCTATGATATGAAAAACAATAAAAAAATAATAATTACATGACTTTTCAAATTTCTTTCCCATACAATAAAGTAGATATGATTTGATTTTGACAAATTCATCATACAAGTATGTTGATCTGGATCACAGGAAGATAAAACTGCTTTATTATAACAATTTCTTCCCAAAGTGAAAGATCTATGATATGAAAAACAATCAAAAAATAATAATTACATGACTTTTCACATTTCTTTCCCATACAATAAAGTAGATATGATTTGATTTTGACATATTCATCATACAAGTATGTTTAGGGTTCTGTGATAATACATGAGCAATAATAAGTTTGTATCTCTAAAAATAAACTCGCAATGAATAGATATTTGCATGGGCTGGGACCCAGCCAACGGTATTCCAAGTGTCGCCACTGCTTTAGACTTAACTGATTGCAATAATTTTACGTACGTGCTTTCATTTGGAACTAAATAATCGATTAAACATCATTATGCCATTATAAATCCATTTTACAAAAAAATAAATGCAAAGAAAGAGAATAACATAATTTATTTGTGGAAACTCCTAAAATCAGCCTACAAATATCTGATACCTACTGTTACATCACGATGAAACATCCATGATAAAAGAATACTAGTGATTTGTATTTCAATATACTTTTGAAATATCAACGTTTTCTGAATGGTTATTTCTAACAAACAAGAAACAATTCATTGTCCCTCCATAACAAGTACTCCGCTGGTGACTAAACGTTTAACATTTGTTTCGAGGCAGAATCACGCCATTAGACGATGCAGAAGAGTAGATTGGAATAAATAGAAAATAAATAAATAAAATAAATAATCATGGATCTAATGGGTATTTGCACGTATACACATACAGGTGCAAGAACATGTAGCTTTACAATAATCTACATGCGTATGCACATGTAAACGAATGTATACACAAGAAAACAGTAATATAAGAGGTATGAAACACATAAAAAACAATTTTATATAGTGGTCATGTTGTCTTGGGTCTGAATTTACCCGTATTCACGGGAGTCATTTGTCTGTGTTTCTATAACTCGGAGACTAATAATCATATATTTGCCTAACAAAGGGTGTTTGTAAGAGAAATAATAGTTTCTACAGTAATGAAATGATAAACATCCATAAATGAAAAAAATATAAAATATGAACTTCAAATATCCTACTTTTTGTTTGCTTGTTTTTTGATTTTTCTTATTTTTGAGCTATAGACATTTCCTTGCCAAAGTTTTTATCTGATTAATTCATTACCAAAAAAAAAAAAAAAAAAAAAAAATCCTCACCTACTTAAAAAAAAAAAAAAAAAAAAAAAAAATAATATATATATATATATATATATATATATATATATATATATAAAGTAATAATTAAATAAAATAATAACAATAGGGAATAAAGCGAGTCAAAGTGAGAGATGCGCGCATGCGATCATGCCTCTGTGTGTGTGTGTGTGTGTGTGTGTGTGTGTGTGTGTGTGTGTGTGGTGTGTGTGTGTGTGTGTGTGTGTGTGTGTGTGTGTGTGTGTGTGTGTGTGTGTGTGTGTTGTGTGTGTGTGTGTGTGTGTGTGTGTGGTGTGTGTGTGTGTGTGTGTGTGTGTGTGTGTGTGTGTGTGTGAGGTGTGTGTGTGTGTGAGGTGTGTGTGTGTGTGAGAGGTGTGTGTGTGAGTGAGAGGTGTGTGTGTGAGTGAGAGGTGTGTGTGTGAGTGAGAGGTGTGTGTGCGCGTGTGCCGCCATCTTTCTTCCACGTAGAAGTAAATGACATTATTTCCAAACATAGTTGTTGGTAGAAAAGGTATGAATGAGACTGGATATCTTCACAATATAAGAGATGTATTTGACCGGTTTCGATTACGACTTCATCAGAAATACATAAGAGAAAATACATAGCAAATATGTACTACATAGGAGCTGGTAGATCACCTGACGACTGTGACCTCGCACTCGTTATGCGCATAATTGCAGCTGCGACCTTGGACACTTTAAACCTGCCTGATGCGGTGTTCATATTCTTTTCTGTTGCGATGTATGCAGCTTCCGTGACCTTCCTTTTTTTGTTTACTCAATCCTTCATGGATTACTTCGGCTTCCTTCCAGTTCGGTAGATGCACAACGAGTGCAAGGTCACAGTCGTCAGGTGATCTACCAGCTCCTATGTAGTATATATATGCTATGTATTTTCTCTTAAGTATGTATTTCTGATGAAGATGTAATCGAAACCGGTCAAATACATCTCATGTATTGTGAAGATATCCAGTCTCATTCATACCTTTTCTACATTTGTCAACATGGATACGTTATATAGTTGTTGGTTCCATATTCCCGCCAGTGTCAAAGCCCGTGAAATTTCTGTATATATAGGGGTGCTTGCAGCTTCTTCATCACTCTAATTACCATGCCTCGAACTGCCCACCACCCACGCTCGCCCTCCTCTTCTGCCATCGATGACCCACAGCCCTTGACTTTGGTAAGTTTTGTTACTATCACTCTTGTGTTCTCTCTATTTGTTTTCATATTGAAAAAATCAGAACTATAGAATGTATTACTTGTCTTTTTTTTTCCATTCCTTCAGGCAAACCGTCCCCGTCCTCTGATACACCCGATGTCTCCTGTTGAGGGCCAAGACCCCCAGCCCTCAACTTCATCAGTAAATTTCGTTATCACTCTTGTGTTCTTTCCATTTGTATTTACATTGAAAAAATCTAGCACCGAGCTATCAGACCATATTACTTGTTTTTCTGTTCCACCCCACAGGGACACAGCCGCATGCTGCTGCCGTCTGATTCTGAGGACCAAGACCTTCAGCTCAGTTTCTTCAGTAAGTTTTGCTATCATCACTCGTGTTCTCTCCATTTTTATTCACATTGAAAAAATCTAGAATGGAGCTATCAGAAAGTATTACTTATTTTTCTTTCCCACTCCCACTGGGAAGTAATCGAGATCCCCAGCCTTCGACATCCTCTGCAGCTCGTGCGAGGGTGCTTTGTCGGAACATCGTTCACCCACTTGCTTCAACATTTCGTCAGAAGTGGTGATGAGTGGCTGCAGACCCAGTGTTCGACAAGTCCAATTCAGAGGAAGAACTGGATTCCTTTCCTCAAGCCAACGCTTCTGTCAACACCACACTGGACAGCGTGGCCAAGCAAGCTGGCTCTGAGGAAAGGACCTGGCTCCAAGGGGTTCAAATGGTGACACAACGACAATGTCCCGAAGGTTGAGGAATTCCGAGGCGACCTTGGGGTGTAGGTCTCTTTGGACATCTCGTCCTCGGCCATAGAGATCTTCAAGTGCTTCTTCACCGATGATCTCCTTGATCATATTGTGAAGGAGCCCAACTGGTAATTTTTGTTATTATCACTATTATGTTCTTTCTATTTGTATTCTTACTGAAGAAATCTAACACTGAGGAATAAGAATGTATTCTTTTTCTTTTCTATTCCTCAGGTACGCGGGCGCCCACCCTCCTGCCGCCTCGCCACATATGAGGTGGACTATAAGAGTATCTAACACCTAGTTTATAGTGTAGTTGAATTACAGGTGGCGTCAGTGATACACTGATTGGCTTCAGTCTTTATTGAAGAGAACATGATGAAAACTATGGCGTGGAACTCCCCCGGCCGGGAGGGGCCGAGAGCGGGCAACTCAGGTCACAGGGAGGTCGCTGAAGGTTTGAGTGAGAATGCCCCATGCCCTGCTAGGGCGGGCGACCGTCAAAGAGTAAGTGAGAGTGAGGGTCAGCTTGGATGACCTTATATACACCTTGGTGGACGGCATGGCCTCTATATTTAGAAGAGCGTGGTTTGGGCAATAGCGTGGGCAAGCCCCACACCACGTGGTAGAGGACCACACGTGGGAAGTAGGTATTGCACCCTTTATATGGACTCCAACGTCCTTGCAGGAGGTCAAGGCGTACCTTGGGATTCGTCTGATAATGGGCATGGTCCAACTTCCCAGTTACCACGATTACTGGTCGACCATTCTCATTCTACGTCACCACCTCATTCCTGGGTTAATGACAAGAGATTGGTTTGACTAGTTGACGACACATCTCCATTTCGTGCATTTGAAGGAAGGAACTCCACTCCCGAAGGACAGGATGTGGAAGCTCAGACTAGTTGCAGACACCCTCAACGACTCGTTCCGGATGATTTTCATCCTGGGGCATGAGATCGCCATTGACGAGTCTTTGTGGAAGCTTTTAGGACCTACAACCCAACCAAGAGGGCGAGGTTCGGGTTGAAGGTGTATAAACTCTATGCCAGTACCGGCCCAGCTGCAGGGTACATCTCTTGTTTCCAGGTGTCCACTGGGAGGGACTCTGGTGACATGACCTCTTCCACGAAACCAGTGTTTCATCTGATGGAGTATGGCGGCTTCCATGACAAAGGATACCAGTTTTTTGTGGACAACTGGTACATGTCGCCTAAGCTCTTTCATTTGTTGCAGTCACGAAGGACAAATGCGGTAGGCATAGCCCGGCTGAACAGGAAGTTCATGCACAAGGACCTCAGTGTGAGGAGGGGTGATGTCGATTACTACAACAGCACGACGGGATTGCTGGCCTTGATGTTGAAGGACAGCAACATCATCACCATGCTGTCTACTGTCCATACTGCCGTAATGGAAGGGGAGAAGCCGTTGGTAGTAAAGGATTACAATGTCGGCATGAAGGGAGGCGACGTTGGTGATCAGATGGCGGGCTACTACCCAATGCCTCGCCAGTCTAGAGTCTGGTACAAGGTCTTCTTTTTTCTCTTTGACATTGCCATTGTCAACACCTGGGCCGTCCATCATGTCCTTGGCTGGAGGGAATCACAGAAGGCCTTCAGACTGGGGCTCATCCCTGAACTCTTGGGGCAGTTCAGGGAGGGGTCCATCCCCTTCAGGGCCCACACTGCAATAAGTTCAACCATTGCAGCCAGGCGAGCTCTGCAGCAGCGGCAGCAAGAAGTCTCAGAAACCCCGACGCCNGAGAGAAAGAGAGAGAGAAGAGACCGAGAGAGAGAGACAGAACAGACCAGAAGACCAGAACAGAGAAGAAGAAAAGACTGATAGAATAAATAAAAAACGCAAAAAAACAGGACACAACACGAATACCCGGACGGAATAAAAAAAAGAAAAAAAGAAAAAAATAGGAAGAGAAAGAGAAGAGAGATAACAGAGTGGTAAAGAACGGCCGAGAGACAGCAGCGGACCTTTCTTCGAAGACATCTCCCAAGAAACACAAAGAGGACGGAGAGAATTCTTACGCGACGCACGCACGCACGCACGCACGCCCAACGGTTCTTTCTTTGCCAACTCAGGCTTTGCATAATGAAGATAAATACGGGAGGCAGACGCACCACGCGAATGACGGGAGAAGGGGATGGAAGGGAAGAGGAGAGGGAGAGGGGAGGGAGACAGAGAGGGAGAGAGGAGAGGGAGAGGGAGAGGAGAGGAGAGAGGGAGAGGAGAGGGAAGAGGGAGAGGGCAGAGGGAGAGGGAGGGAGAGGAGAGGAGAGGAGCAGGGGAAGAGAGGGAGAGTGAGAGGAGAGGAGAGGGAGAGGGAGAGGAGACAGAGAGAGAAAAGGAGGAGAGAGAGAGAGAGGAGAGAGAGAAGAGTCGAAGAAGAGAGGAAAGAGAAGAGAGACGAGAGAGGAGAGAGAGAGAGAGAGAGAGAGAGAGAGGAGAGAGACGAAGAGGGATGAAGTGAGGAGTGCCAAATGGGAAATAAAATTTTTTTTCTTTTTTTTTATATATGAATTTCTTCCGATATCAGGGCGGGAAAAATATTTTCTTTCCGAAGTTTAAAAAATTGAATGATACCTTTTTTTTTTGGAATTCGGGGGTGTGCCAGAACAAATAGGGTATTTCATTATCACTGTAATTTCTAGTGCTTCAGACTCTCGACTGGATACATGATGAGGTCAAACGACGCAAAATTATATACTGTGAACAAGGAGGAATTCAAAGTTCACAGCTCAGATTTTTTCTTCTCCTTCCTTCTCTCTCTCTTCTCCTCTCTCGTCTCTCTCTCTCTCTCTCTCTCTCCTCTCTCTCTCTCTCTCTCTCTTCCTCTCTCTCTTCTCTCTCTCTCTCTTATCCTTTCTTCTCTTCTCTCTCTCTCTCTCTCTCTCTCTCTCTCTCTCTCTCTCTCTCTCTCTCTCTCTTCTCTCTTTCTCTTTCTCTTTCTCTTTCTCTCTCTCCTCTCTCTCTCTCTCTCTCTCTCTCTCTCTCTCTCTCTCTCTCTCTCTCTTCTCTCTCGCTCTCTCTCTCTCTCTCTCTCTCCCTCTCTCTCTCTCTAGTTTTCTTTTCATCTGTCTATCTGTCTGTCTCTTTCATTCTCCCCCTTTCTTTCTCCTCCTCCCTTCATCATTATCCCTTTTTTCTCGACTAATCTTCCTCTCCTTTGCCATTCCCTCCTGTAGACACTAACCCCCCCCCCCCCGTCTACGCAGAGGTTTGTGCACCAGCCGGACGACTCGGGGAGGGGAGGGGAAGGGGGGTCGCATTACTCTTCGCTCCCCTCCGTGAAAATAGCGAATCGTTGAAATGACCAGCGCTGTCAGGCCCGGAAAACACCCTCCCCTTCTCCCCTCCCCTCCCCTCCCCTTCCTTCCACTCTACTCATTTGTCAATTCTCTTCTTTCTCTCTGTCTCTGCAATTTTTGTCTGTTCTCTTTCTCTCTTCCCTCTCCTCTCTCTCTTCTCCTCTCTCTCTCCTCTCTCTCTCTCTCCCTCTCTCTCTCCTCTCTTCTTCCTCTTTTCTCTTCTCTCTCTTCTCTCTCTCTCTCTCTCTTTCCCTTCTCTCTCTCTCTCTCTCTCTTTCCCTCCCTTTCCTCCCCCCTCCCCTCCTCCACCTCTCCTCCTTCCTCCTCCTCCTCCTCCTCCTCCTCTCCCTTCCCCCCTTTGTCGGTTCGCAATTCCTATCCGCGCGACGAGGAAGGCTAAAAAAAAAATGCTATCCCACACGCGCGTCCCTCCTCCTCCTCCTTTTGTAATTCGAGAGGCATCCCAAAATCCCCCCCCCACCCTCTTCCCACCCTCACCCCCCCCCTCCTCCTCGCCCCCATTGTGTGGAGATGTTCATGTTATCGCGCCCAAAGAATGAAGAAAAAGAAAGTAAAAAAAAAAAAAAAAAAACGGGAGAGAAAAAAGAAAGGGACTTTTTGATCATTTTTTTGTTCCTCGTTAAAATCACCTCGGCCCGGTTCGTGTCTGGGGGGGGGGGGGGTATTATAGGAAGGGGGTAGGGGGAGTGGGGGGATTTATCTGCTTAAGTAGATTACTATTATATATGTTTTTTATTGTTTGTGTTATTTGTATTGTTATAATCAGTGATTGATATTAAAGGTGGTTTTCATTGGTAATATGTTGTCAGTAATTGATAATTTTTATTACTGATAGTTCTTGTCATCATCACCATCATTATTTTCATCGTCGTCGTCATCAGTCATCATCATCACCACCATCACCATCACCATTATCATCATCGCCACCACCATTATCATCATCACCACCACCATTATTATCATCACCCCACCACATCATCATCACACCACCACCACCACCACCACCACCACCACCTTTATCATTATAATCACCATTACCATTATTATTACCATTATTTCCCATCGTCACCATCACCTTTCGGGCTGCAGGGTGTCTTAGGGATACACAGGATGCTCGAGGGCGGAGAACTGAGAGAGGAAGAGCGCTGAGTCACAAAGGATTTATATTTTTAGTAACAAAGACGATTTTAAAAGAATATTTTATCTCTTGGGGGCGTGGAAGAGGTAGGTAATTGGCTCCATTTTTAGGTGTAACTGCTTGTTGGATAGTTTGGAAAGTTTTACATATTTATCGGGTTGAAATTTGGTGTTTACATATTAAGATGTTTTCGTATTATTTAGAAAAGAAAAATGAATAGTTGGTAATAGATGATGATACATAATATGGTTTATTAACAGTGTTAATTAAGGACACTTAGTGGCACTTTCCATAATTTGATAAAGTGGATTGTTTCATTAATATTTTGATATTAAAGTCTATTCTCTTATTATCTTTAATTGCATTAAATGAAAAATGCAATAAATTACCAAGAACGCTTTTTGGTTCTGCATTTTAATGATTTGAAGAGTCTCCCCGTCGATTCGTTTTCTTCCTCTCTTTCTACTTTTCTTATTCTCTTTTTTGGATCTTCTCTCCTCCCTTCCTCTCTTTAGTCTTCTTATTCTCCTCTCCTTCTTTCTTATCTTAATCTCTTCTTCTCCCTCTATTTCTTTTTTTCTTCCTGTAGGAGGGCAATAGTGTTTTTTTTTTTTTTTTTTTCTATTCCTTCTTTTTTTTTCTTTTCTCCTTCTCCCCCTTCTTTGTCCGGCTCCCTCCATCATTTCGCTTCTTGTCTATCTCTCTCCTCCTTTTCCTTCCTCTCTTCTGTTCTCTCTCTTTCCTTTTTATCTTCTGCTTCTTTTTCTCCCTTTCCTTCGTTTCTCCCCATTTCCTTCCACGTTCTTCTCCTATTCTCCCCTTCCTTCCTTTCTCTCTTTCCCTCCGCCTACTCCCCAGGCAATAGGGCAATGGCACCCTCTCCGCCCCCCCCCCGGTCCGGGGTCACGCCCGAGGAGGTCACGCCCCTGGTCCCAATCAGCGAGCCTCGAGGGACCTCCTTACGCGCTGTTATCTCGCCTCTTCGTCAGGGATTCTCACGGGGAGTCTCGGCTTGGGCCCTCGGAGGCGAAGGGGTCGGGGCGTGTTTTTTTTTTTTTTTTTTTTTGGGGGGGGGTGTAGGAGGGTAGGTCGTTATTGTTTTGCTCTCCTTTTTTTGAATTTCTTGTCTTCGTTATTCTTTTTCTTATTTCGGTCTCTCTTTTTGTATTTGTTTTGTCTTGATTTTGTTTGTTTGCTCTCTTCTGTCTCTCTCTCTCTCTCTCTCTCTCTCTCTCTCTCTCTCTCTCTCTCTCTCTCTCTCTCTCTCTCTCTCTCTCCCTCCCTCCCTCCCTCCCTCCCTCCCTCCTCCCTCCCTCCTCTCCCTCTCCCTCTCCCTCTCCCTCTCCTCTCCCTCCCTCCCTCCCTCCCCTCCCTCTCTCTCTCTCTCTCTCTCTCTCTCTCTCTCTCTCTCTCTCTCTCTCTCTCTCTCTCTTCTCTCTCTCTCTCTCTCTCTCTCTCTCCCCCTCTCCCTCCCCCCTCTCTCTCCTCCCCCTCTCTCTCTCTTCCCTCCCCCCCCCCTCTCTCTCTTCTCTCCTCCTCTCTACTCCTACAACACTACTACCGCATACCAATCCCACCGCCATCACGTACCTTGCAAGGATCCATCAGGGCGAGAAGAGAACTGATGTGAAGTTACGATTCAAGTGATGATACACTTCTCTCGCTTCATTGCAGCGCACTGTTATTTTCCTCATCATCGGGCGGGGATTTTATTAGCCCGATCTGGCGTGACATTCCACTCACGTCTTCGTATTGGGATGCGTGTGTGGAACCTTAAACTGACTATGCTTTGTTTGCTTGTTTGTAAGTTCCTTCTGACTATACTTTGTTTATAAGTTCCTTTGTATATTTTGTTTATAACTATACTTTGTTATAATTTACTTATTTTCCTTTGCATACTTTGTTTATAAGTTCCTTTGTATGCTTTGTGTATAATCCCCTTTCTATACTTTCTTTATCGCTTCCTCCTGACTATACTTTAAAACTTTCTCCGACTATACTTTTGTTTATGACCTTCCCCTGAGTATATTTTATTTATAACTTCCTCCTGACTATACTCTGTTTATGACCTTCCCCCTGACCATCTTTCTCACGCATTGATCGTGCAACATAGAAGTTATGTTAGTGAGAAGGACCTCGTTTCTATACTGTCCTTGTATAAGAAGGGATACTGTCAGTATATGTAAAGAGAAAAAAACTGTATCACATGTTTTTTTTATGCTGATGAGGTTGATGAACACTGAAGGACGTCAGACGTTCGTTCCAAGCTCGGCTAAAAGGAAATTTAATAAGTGTTTGTTCAATAACGTTCACCAGCGCGTTCACATGGGAAAGTGCAAGCGTCGGGGTGTGGAGGGGTGTGGGGTGGAGGAGGAGAGGGAGGGTGGAGGGGTGGGGGAGGAGAGGAAGGAGAGGGAGAGGAGGGAGAAAGGTGGGTGGGAGGAGAGGAGAGGGAGGAGAGGGGGGGTGGAGGGGAAGAGTTAAGATGATTATGTGATTTAGATAATGGATAGGAGAGTTTTTATCCGACGAGGAAGGGAAAAGAAATGAATTATGCATGATGTAAAGAAAGGAAAAAAAAGTGTTAAGAAATGAGAAGAATATGCATGACTTTAAAAGGAGAAAAAAATTATGCATAATGTAAAGAAAGGAAAAAAATGTGCATGGTGTGAAGAAAGGGAGAAAATATGCATGACTTTAAAAGAAGGAAAAATTTATGCATAATGTAAAGAAAGGAAAAGGATTGTACATAATGTAAAGAAAGGAAAAGTATGTATGACATGACAAAAAAAAAAAAGTTATGCATGACGCACCCAGTTTCATGCCCCGAGACGCATAACGGGTCGTGCCAGCATCCTTTCCTTGTGTCTGTATGAGATCGCCAACGCAGCTCCTACCCCCCCCCCACTCCCCCCTTTTAAACTCCTGTGTAAATTTACTCCCTCGGCTGTGCAGATATTTGGGAGATCAGTCACCCTTTTTCCAGGGGTGCGAAAAGAGAGGGAGAGGGAGAGGGTGGGGTGTTGGGTGAGGGAGAGAGAGTGGGGATGAGAGGGAGAAGGGGAGGGATGGGATGTGAGGGAGAGAGGAGAGGAAGAGGATGGGATGTTTGAGGGAGAAAGATGGGGAGAGAGAGAGGGGAGGAGGGGAAGGGAGAGGGAGAGGAGATAGGTGAGGGAGAGAGAGGGAGAGGAGAGGAGAGGTGGGATGTTGGATTGGGGGAGAGAGGGAGAGGAGAGGTGGGATGTTAAGTGAGGAGAGAAGAGGAAGAGGGTGGATGAGTGAAGTTTGGAGTTGAGGTGAGGGAGAAAGATTGGGGGAAAGAGGAGAGGAAGAGGGAGGGATGTTAGGTGAGGAAAGAGATAGGAGAAGAAAGGGCATGATAAAGATTATCTCTCCTCTTTCTCTCCTTCCCCGCTTTATTTAGCTTTGGTCCCTCCCCTCTCCCCCGTAAGTACAATCCTCCCCGTCACGCAGCGGCGAATAATTCATCCTAAATCTGGAAAAAGGGGTGGGGTGGGGGGGGGGGGGGTGACGTACATTTACCCCGGGGTCTCACCTCTCCCTCTGGATCCTCCCAAGTTTGGCGGAGGATGAGGGGGGGCGGAGGATGAGGGGGGGGAGGGGGGAGAAGAATGCTAAGCGGAAGGGTGAAACTCCTCCCTTCTGCTCCTTTCCCTCCCTGCTTCACCCTTCTCGCTTGTCGTCCTTGTTATGATCTTCGGTTGCTTTCTCCCTCATTTTGCGGCGATATTTTCCTCCTCTTTTTCCATTTTCCTTGTTCGTTTTCTTATAGTTTTGTATTCTCTCCCTCCCTGCTTCATCCTTCTCGCTTGTCGTTCTGTTATGATCTTCGGTTGCTTTCTCCCTCATTTTGCAGCGTATTTTCCTCCTCTTTTTCATTTTCCTTGTTCGGTTTTCTTATAGTTTTGTATTCTCTCCCTCCCTGCTTCATCCTTCTCGCTTGTCGTTCTTGTTATGATCTTCGGTTGCTTTCTCCCTCATTTTGTAGCGCTATTTCCCTCCTCTTTTATCATTTTCCTTGTTCGGTTTTCTTGTCGTTTTGTAGCGTTCCCCTTCCAGGCCCTGTCAGCGCCATGTCACCCTGCCAGCTGTCTCCCCCTTCGGACAGCTCCTCCTTCGCCCCTTCCTGATAGTAGTCTCTTCAGGCAGTCCCTTTCGAGTAGCACCCCCCCCCCCGCGTCTCCCAAAACCTTGCCGATACCCCTTCTCCTCTCTTTAATACCCTGTCATTAACCTCCCCTTCCATCGTTGCCAATCACCCCCCTCACCCCCACTCCCCATCATCAACCCCCCCCCCTTTCGCCTTCAGTTCACGGGTAGCGCCATTTTTTCTCTCTCTCTCTCTGTCTTTCCTTCTATAAAGATTCAGGGCGAGAGAATGCCATTAGACTTGGGTTCGTCATAGCACATTACAGAACATGTACGTGTTGAAGTAATAGGATTGAAATTCCGTTTTGGGGAGGAGGGGGTGGAAAGGTGTGGGGGGGGGTTGCTATCATAATCGATTGAAAAGCGTCATTGCTAAATTTGGAGTTATCGAACCTTGAAGCATTATAACTGTTGCGATAAACTCAGCTTTTCAACTCTTTTAACACAACGCGCATTACGATTTGGTGTTCCTGTATTTTATTTATTATCCATATGATTATTCATTTATTCAGTTATTCATTTAGGAGGATGCGTACATCAGGACTCTTCTCAGCGGGACGTCGCCATGGTAACCAGCATCACGGACGGACGAACGAACTCCTCTGTCTGTAGGTCAAGCAGCTCCGAGGGAAGACGATACAGCATTTTATCAGCGTTATATAGCTGTTATTTTTATGGCCGTCCGTTGTGTATTAATGATGTCTGTTGCCCATTCCCCATATGCGCGACTGAGGCAAATATTATATTACATTACATGGGATGTCATTGGGTTTAACGACTCCATAACGAGAGAGAGGGGGAGAGGGAGGGAGGAGCAGAGGGGAGAAGGAGGGAGGGA